ATGGATCAGCGCATTGACCGTGCCAGGCTGAAATGTCGTCGAGGCCAACATGATGCCAAATGGGGCCACTTCTCTACGCGCATCCATCCACACGCGTCCATCGCCAAGAATCGACTACGCCTCGCCGCTGAGACCCGCCACGGTAGATGCAACACCGCTCAACCTTTTGGCCCCTCCAGCCAGCACCTGCTCCAAAATGAAGCCTACTGGAGGGAAAACAACACCAAAGGCGCTGATATCATCCAATCTGATAGACCCAGATTTATGGTTTTCCCTGGAGCAGCCCGAGCGAGATGACACATACTACAATGAGGATGCCCACAGTGAAACAATGTCAAAGATACCGACATCGTCTGTCATGATTGAAGTCGGCTCCATTTTCACTCGCATTCACGGCGGTACATCTCCACAACTAGCTGCATCCGCGCCGTGAAGGCACACATAGCTGCCAGAACGCCGGTAGAGGACCTCTAGCCTGCCCTCAACGTGAATACATCATACAAATAACATGACCAAAGTCAGCACGATTTTTATCACATTCGCGTCACCCCGTCTCTCCAACTGGCTGGATCGAGCATAATGTAGATCGGCCTTATAAAAATATGGTCCACTCGTCAGTGGTCCATCTACACAACCCCAAAGACACCGCGGGGCAAAGATTGGAGGAGAACACGGGAACTTCCCCTACTCTGTTATTTTTCCATAGACTACAAAGGAACATGCACTTAGTAATTATGGCTATTTTTTCATATAATGGAGTTACACCGAGACATGTTCTATTTTTCAGTATAACGAAGAGCATTGTTAGTTATGGAAGATGCGACAGTACGCTTGGTAATTATATAACGAGAAAAGTGTGGTTTTGGTCCCTCAAGTTCCCAGAAAGTCTAGACTTGGTCCCTCAAGAATTTTTGGTCTACTTTTGGTCCCTCAAGTTTCAAAACCGGATAAGTTTGGTCCTAAACCAGATTTTGAGGGCGTTGACCGGGTCAAAACCGCCCGATGAACAGTAAATGCGAATTTTTTTTCTAGAAAAACTTCTAAAAAACTGAAATTTTTTGGGGTTCAATATGCTTACATGCGCAAGGTGTGCCCAAATTTTCATGCTCTTTCGACACTCGAGGAGCTCGTGGCAAAAAAAAATCTGCATGATGAATAGTAAATTCAAAAAAATAATCAAAACAAAACCTAAAATTACTGAAATGTTTTGGGGTCTAATATGCTTACATGCGGAAAGACTAAAAAATTTTGATCGCGCCTTCCGCATGTAAGCATATTGGACCCCAAAAAATTTTGGAATTTTTTGATTTTGTTTTTATTTTTTTTAATTTACTATTCATCAAGCAGATATTTTTGTTTTTTTCCACGAGCTCCACGAGTGTCGAAAGAGCACGAAAATTTGGGCGCACCTTGCGCATGTAAGCATATTGAACCCCAAAAAATTTCAGTAATCGCATTTACTGTTCATTGGGCGGTTTTGACCCGGTCAACGCCCTCAAAATCTGGTTTAAGACCAAACTTATCCGGTTTTGAAACTTGAGGGACCAAAAGTAGACCCGAAAATCTTGAGGGACCAAGTCTGGACTTTCTGGGAACTTGAGGGACCAAAAACACACTTTTCTCTTATATAACACATAGGCTCTACAGCTGCTCGGTAGCGAATGAATCTCCGTCCTCCATATTATTCTTCCTAAAATGCTGCGCAAGCATGTGCTCATTTATCTTAATAGCCAAACCAATTAACGCCAATAGACTAAATAATAAACTCTTATAAAGAAACAAATAAATAGACAATACATAAGTTGTGAAGGTATCTACATCTACATAGTAGACAAAATAACTGGGACTAGAGAGCTAGAAGATCTGACAAAGTTGCAACCAAGGATATAGAACGCTTGTTTTTTCAGAGCCGTTTGTGTAATCCTTACAAGTTGTGTATTATACTCCAATATATCCCTCGCTAGAAGTTCCTTGTCTTCTTTTTTTTAGAACGAAGGCTCGCGAGGAGCCCGGCTTTGAATTAACAAAGCCATCAACCGGCCGGGAGTTACAGCAAACAACCAAATTACAGCGGTCAGAAGGATACAATGGGAACACTGGACTGAAACGCTAACTACAACCTCCACAAGCAGCTAATGCAAAGGAAATTAAGATTACAGCTTGCAAAGGCCGAGCACTCCACACTAGGATCATATGAGGAAAAGTAGAGCAGCAAAGCAGGGCATATCCGACCTTCAAAGATGGCCATGCTCCAGGAACACCTAGAGAAGAAGGGGAACAACATCTTCCATCTCAATCACCGAAGAGGGACCCTACCCCCTCGCCATGGCTTGTAGGCGCCGCACCGTCGGGGTTTCGAGGAGCTCACCCTAGAGCTCGAAGAATGCCGCCCTCACATCGGAAGGTGGACATAGTGCGGCCACTTCAATTTGGGATATCCCTAGCCGGCCGCTCCGCCACGGTCCATGCCCAGCTAGGTGGAAATACGCTTCGTGGAATCGGACGATGAAGAGGAGGCAGCTCCGTCCCTCACCTGCAGCGCCTCCCGACCGCATCCCGCCTCCCTAACGGCGCCTCCAGCAAGGTCACGGCGCGCAAGGCGCCGCCGCCGCCAAATCCGAGAGGATATAAGGTTTTCACCCGGGCAGGGTGGGTCGGGGTGGAAGCAGGGGACCTCGGCTGCGCCCCCATGGAGGAAAGCAGCGCCCTTGGGCGTTGCCGCCGCCGGACCGGCCGGTCCGGCCAAGGTTTCCCCCGGTCCCCTAGCTGGCCACCAACTCGCACCAACGCCAGGGCCAGAGAGCAAATCACAAGCCACCGCCGACGGCGAGAGAGAGGTAGCCGGGAAGGGATTTCGAACCTCCAGATCTGACGAAGAAACGTCGCGCCGCGGCCGGATTCCACCAACCACCCGCCGCCCGCGCGGCCAGGCACACTGGCCAGCACCCCTGCGAACGCCGCCCACCGCCCGACGACGCCGCCTCTCCGGTTGGGGCCGCCGCCCCAGGAACCGCAGGCCTCCGAGAGGGGATGGAGCGCCGAGATCCTCGCCGCCAGCTTCACCGGCGCCCGCGCAGGCTTCCCGGCGGCCGTCTCCGGTAGCGGCGAGGGGAAGAAGGGAGTGGAGGGGGCTGGCGGCGGCCGCGGAACCCTAGTCGCCCCCGAGTCACCCAGGGGGGCGACGCGAGGGCGGGGGGCGTGTCCGTTTTTTGAGGGTAAAGCTCTTATGTTAGTTGGATTTTTGACAAGCAGCTAATTAGTCAGTTCCTTGTCTTCTTTGGTGAGCCTTCTTCATTCAAACTGAAACTTTATTTTAAAATTTGGTTGGCATGATGGTTCACCAAACTTCTAGCAAGGCCAACACCGAGGGCATGCGAACACGCAGGCGCCGTCGGATGCCATGCACCCAGGTACCAAGTGCACGTCAGGGCCATCCAAGGGAATTTTTGTAGTATGCATGCTTGCAGCCTGACGGTGACTGCAAGTCGGGCTACCACCTCGGCTTTGACTCGCCCGTTACGCACCAGCGCTGCCACAGATCCGAAGGCCGCAGCAACCATGCGAGCGAACGACGAGCAACCTCCATCGACTCGACCTGCTGCACCTTGCACCGACATACACCAGACGATCTACTCCTCTGCGAACCCGTGCCATGCTCCGAGCTGTATGACTACGCCAGGATATACTTCTTCGGCATGACAAATTGACACTTCGTTGCCGTGAGGGACGCCTTGAAGCGACACATTATCGTCGACATGCCACCGCGACACTATCGCCGACACTTCATCGCCAAGCTCTTTATCAACGTGGTCTTCATCACCATCATCGTCACACACCACCGCCACCTCGTCCATAAGATGGTCACCTAGCATCCGCTGACAGACTTTTCTGCAAGAGCGACCTTAACGACGACAATGACCGTGTCACGACGACGGCATCGACCGCATCATACACGATGGCACGATTGTTTCGACACGGTTGTGAATTTTTGAATTTTTCCGAGAATCCCTTCTAATCTAGTTCATGGTTGTGAATTTTTTTTTCCGAGAATTTTTGATCTATTTATTTTCAATCATGACAGTATAACGAACATTAGTAATAATAAAAATTACATCCAGTTTCATAGACCATCGGAGACACATCTACATACGCCCACCAACGATGCTAGACGCACCACCGAAACGGGGAATAGGCGGTGAGACCTTTATTCCATCTTTAAGGAGCCACCGCCGTCTTATCTTCATAAACAGGACATAGACCCTAACAAAACAGAAAGAAATAATTAAAATCGGAGCCTTCCCGCCGGCCCTTGTCACGATCCACCGCGCCCCATGGCCCTAGGGCAACCGGAGACGAGGCGGACCACAATAGTCTATGTGTGTTCTTCCTATGTGCGTGCGCCAGTCTTCTTCTTTCTCCTGGGCAAACCCAACACATCTCCAGACTCCGTTTGCCGCAAAATAAAAAAACTTCCAGTTGTAGCACCGAAGCCCTCCCCGTCTCCACCGCTTGTTGCAGCAAAACTTGGCCGTTGGTGAGGGAAGCTTGTGGTGGTTTGTCAGCAGTGTGGAGGCGAGAAAAAATCATGGTGTGGAGAGCAGAGCAGGTCGTGCTGGAGGTAGAAGAAAGCAAAGGTCAGGGAAAGGATAAGCTAGGAAGGGAGGCGGTCGCGCGAGGCCCACTGCGTACACCTGTCTCGCGCGGGGTTTGTTTCGTGGCGCGTGAGCCGGCCGAATTCGCAACGTTTCCCAAGAGCTAAGAAAAAGCACGATTATTGGGCCTAATTGGGCCACACGACCACGATGAATCGCTCCGGACTCGTCTGCGTACGTGGTTCCTTCGTCTGTCTGGAGCTCTATTAAGTCTACGCGAACCCACCATAAAAAAAGCACCCATAGAAAAACCCTACGCGAACCCTAGCAGGAGCGACGCGCGCTCCCGTCGGGCAGAGCAGTAGGAGCGCGCGCCGGGGCAGGGAAGCAGAAGCGCGCGGTCCTGCCATGGCTAACTCGTCTCCGTCCTCCGTGGCCGGTGGGACAACGTCCCACACTGCGTCGACCATCATCGCCGAGGGTGTATCCGGGTCGCACGACCTAAGCATCAAGGGCTACTCTCGCACCAAGGGGCTGGGCATCGGCGAATGCATCACATCCGAGAAGTTCGACGTCGGGGGCCATCACTGGTGTATCAAATACTACCCTGACGGTGAGGCCAAGGACGACACCGACTCGGTAGCACTGCACCTATGGCGTGATGACACTGACGGCAATGATGTCACCGCAATATTCACGTTCAGTTTGCTCAACGGGGAGGGGCAACCGGTGTCACTCCACAGCCACTCAAGTGGGCGTCGTACGTTCAGGCCCAAACAAGGATGGGGATTCGGTACGTTCATCGAGAGGAACGACTTGGAGGATTCCCCTCATCTCAAAGATGACTGTTTCAGCATCAGGTGTGATCTCACTCTCACTAAGGAGATCTGCACCACACGCGCTGCCCCGTTTGTAGTTGTGCCGCCGTCGGACATGCATCGGCAACTACTCTACCTCTTGACAAGCAGGCATGCAGGTGACGTGACTTTCAAGGTCGGCCGTCAGCGGTTCACGGCGCATAGGTACATCCTTGCTGCTCGGTCTTCGGTCTTCATGGCCGAGCTCTTTGGTCCCATGAAAGAGAAGGAGGCCACCTGCATACACATCCATGAAGTGGAGGCCAAGGTTTTTAAAGCCATGCTTCACTTCATTTACACCGACGAACTGCCTCAGATTGACGACGGCGAAGCTATGGTGATGGCACAACATTTGCTCGTAGCGGCTGACAGATATAACCTCGATAGGCTCAAGTTAATGTGCGAGGAGACCTTGTGCAACTACATCAGCAAAGACACAGCAGCCACCACGTTGGCGTTGGCTGAGCAGCATGGCTGCGATGGGCTCAGGAGGGCATGCTTCGCATTCCTCGCTTCACTCGACAATCTCAAGGCAGTCATGGCGAGTGATGGCTTTGCCCATCTGAGGAGCAGCTGCCCCTCCATCATAGAGAAGCTGGTCACCAACCTTGCTCCCTGCTGAGTATTGACTTCGACTAGAAATCAAATAAATAAATAAATTGAAGACATTTGAAATTCTAAATATTTTACGCCTATATAGCTACTATATGTATTCCCAAAAGAGAAACATGTTAGTAGCATTCAACTACTGTTGCTATGTTTACACAGAGAACAAAACTACTGTTGCGCTGTAAGAGTCTCTTAGGTTTGCATTGCTGCATATATAGCGTATGAGCCCATTTGCACCTTTTGAAGATTCATGCAATCAGTAATTTGGTTTGGATATTTTTTCTCTAGCGTTTTTTAATCTAAACAGACTTTATTAATCAATAATGTTCATAGGGATACAATGAAGATCTGTGGGATCGAGTTGCCAATTATGGCGGCCTAGGCCCAGACCCAAAGCATGTTTAGTAAGGCTACGAGCCTCTATATTTGAACTTCTTCCCTCCAAGATGAAGGAGCACTTCTCAAACTGATGGGCAGTGGAATTAATCTCTGTGATAATTCCTGCATATATACCTCCCGTTCCATGCTGGATGTCATTGAACACAACCTTGCAATCAAACGCAGCTTGGGCATGTGTTAGTAGTAGGTCTACTGCCAGCATTTGTGCCTCTCGGCAAGCTAGAGCTTCGAGAGTGGAGAGATCCGTGGCTCCCGCTGCTTTGATGACAGATACACCTAAAAATTTACCCACTGAATCACGACAAACTGCACTGTATGTCCCTTCTGACGATTCCTTCGAACCTGCCTCGTCTACACGGATTTTGCCGTCACCTGGAGCCGGCGCGATCCATCTGGGCGTTGCTCTAGGAGCTGGTGACACCGTTGCTCTAGGACCAGCACCTGACACCGTTCAGGTTTGCATTCCTCATGCTCCCTGATGGACCCTTTTACAAAGTGACTAGATCATGCCAGCACGCGTTGCTGTGCCCGTCGATTATTGATATAAAATGGTAGGAATTTTTGCAAGTATATGAAGACGCGAAAGATTATATAGGATATTCTGTAAATATATGGAGATACCAAATATGTAGTGTGAAGTCGGTTCAAGCATTATGGACACTCAGTGGACAGATGATCTGTAAAAGTGTTTCACCGATATTTTCATGTGTGACCTACTCGTCGTCTTCTTAACCTGAACTCTGCTTGTGTGAGACTTCGTTGAACAAACATGTCACAGCCTGCATTGACTTCCCTCTAGCTGCATGAACACATATTTGTAAAAGGTAAACCTTTATAGTACTTTCCTACGGTTGTAATAATTGTTTACAGATCTAGAACATGGTGTCTTAATAGCACACATATTGGCTTACTGAATATTTCTTAATTATGGATCCAAAATCAAAGGATATTTCTTAATATTCATAACATGTATAGTCAGAATAACTCGCATCATAAATAATTTACATTTGGTAACGCAACTGGGGAGTGCAAGTCAGCTTCATCAGCCAAAGCTACATTTTCGAAAAGGGGCGCTTTATTACTTACAAGATTTAAGCATTATACCCGGCCTATGCATAACTAAGATGCACACAGCCAAATAAGGTTCTCTCATACAAAATAAAAATAAAAAAGTTGAAATACCAAAAGATCCGTATAATGCCTAAAGCGGAGGAGGGGCAATCCTAAGATCATGCAGCCATCCATGTTGAGTAAAAGTATCCCTCGTCGTACCCTCCAATACGTATAAACACTTTCGTAAATAGGTCTCGATTCTCCACGCGTTGTAGAGAGGACCATAAACGAGGAGTCTTGATACATCTGTAGATAACCTGCATCAGAGAAGTACTTTTACCATTAAAAACATTATCATTTCTACATAGCCAAAGCGACCAAATAATGGCAAGCACTCCCACCCTGAGAAGAGTTTTAAACCTGTGATCAATCACATGTAACCAGTTGCCAAATACATTAGCAACACTACAAGGAGGATATAAGCAAGAAGCTATTTGGATGACTGACCATATAGAACGAGCAAATTTTGCATTGAAAGAATAAATGTTTTATTGTCTCATCATGGTGACAAAAACACATTGCGGACTTGCATGCCAATTCCTCTAAATAATATTATCTTTAGTAAGAATGACTCTGCGACGAAGATACCATGCAAAGATTTTATTGAGAAGAGATATCTTCATCTTCCAGATCTTCTTGTTATTATCGACTGGCACATCGGACTGGATTAACGTTCTATAAATGGACTCTAATGAGAATTGTCCATTCCCCTGAAGGTTCCGTCGGAAGACATCAGACCCATGTGACAATTGCACCGTGGACAACCGGTGGAGAAGGATGTTCCACGATTGGAGTCTGGGCCCAATTAAATCTCTTTTGAATGTCACATTTGGTGGAAATGATTCCATTATCGTGGGGATAGAATCACCCTTGTGGCGCACAATATTGTATAGAGCCGGATATTGTTCCCGGAGTGTGGCATTTCCTAGCCACTTGTCCTTCCAGAATCTAATTTCCGAGCCGCCCTTAATTGAGAAGGATCCATAGCAGAAGAAATATTTCTTCGTAGCCATTAGACCCGCCAAAAAGTGGGAATCCCCTAGTTTCCAGTATACTTGGAATACCGCCTTGAAACCCACATATTTCCTCCTTAGGAGGGTTTGCCATACACACTACTAGAATGAGGATCTTTGCCGTCAGCGAGCTCTTTGCCGTCCGCTAGCTGACGACAAAGAAGGTCTTTGCCATCAGCTTAAAGAAAGCTGACGACAAAGACAATGTTCGTCGTCAGCCAATTCTTTGCCGTCGGCTAGCAGAGGGCAAAGAGGGAGGATGGCCCACTAACGAGAACCACCTAACGGCCACTTTCTTTGCCGACAAAGCTTCTTTGCCATCTGGAGTAGACGGCAAAAAGAATAGTCAACCTAACGGTCGTTTCCCCCGGCCCCACCCCACTAGCTACGCTCTTTGCCGTCTGCTAGCAGACGGCAAATAAATTAAACCTAACTAAAAAATAGTCGGGCCCGTGCCCACCCCTCTCTCTCTCTTCCTCACCTCACTCGCGCCGCCCCGTGCCCGCCGGCCCCGCCGCCGACCACCATCGCCCCCGCCACCCCCGACCCCGCTGCCCCAGACCACCACCACCCCGACGGCCCTAACCCACCACCACCCCGCGCCCGCGATGCCCAAGACCCCCCACCGCCCCGGCGCCCGCTGCTTAGGCATCCCGCCGCCCCAGCGCCACCGCCCAAATTAAAGACACTAGTACAAACAAAGTTACAACAAACTATTTGAATTCATCAACTCTAACACCCACCCATTCCGCATTCCTTCAAATATGAATATAACTTTCTAAAAGCTCAATGAGTTAGTCATCATGAGATTCAAGAACCCACATGAGCTCATGAAAACTCATGGCATGACCCTTATAACATTACGGGCACTTTGTCTCTTGACCGCCAAAAAAGAAGACCAAGAGATGCCACGCGGAAAAACTATTGCTCTTTTATCACGAAACAAAGTGTGTATTTAAGGTCGACAACCATTGACAACGCGATCCTCGTTGTAGACCGATGACAATGTTTGTTGCTCACACAACCCAAAATTATTCAAAAGTAAAAACCAAGCATCTCAATGAGGATGCCAAAATCTCATCACATCCAGCCACAGCCGGTAAAGATTATATAGAGGCTTTCACCTCGGCGTGCAATACATCAACACTGCTTAATGGGTGCAGCTTTAGATGATTATCAGACTGACTAATGAAAAGTTTCAGATAGATGCCTTTGTGATGTTCTAAACTTAATTGATACGTAATTTTCTTATAAGAAGATAAGCAATGCATACTCACCGGTCTAAGTAAAGAATAAGAGGCTTGAATGAGAGGAAGCCTTTGCTGCACCAAATGTTACCCAAGCTGAAACTTCAGCTAGATTAAGACGAAGCTTGGGACGCAAGGGAATGCATCAAAGTATGTGGCAGTTCGGCCTGGATATTCAACAAGTGTGCCCAGGTCGACGTTTTAATATCTTAGGTCATTCATACAAATTGTATGGTTGACCGTCACTACAGGGAAAACTGTCTATTGCAATGAATTTTTCTGTTGCAATAAGTAACAAACTATTGCAATATGTATCTATCACAACAAAGTAGAAATTGTTGCCAAGCGTCGCAATAAACTCCGTGGCAATAGGATAATGCAACATTTTTTGGTATCGCAACGATATTTCTCGTGGCATTTGAATTATATTGCCACGAGCCCCGCCGTTGCGGCACACACATATGGCCACAAAATACTCTTTGTGGCAATAACCTAGCGCAACAAATGAGATTTCGTGGCAAGACCCTCTCGCAATGACATAATTTTGTGGCAACACACTTGTTGCAATGACCAAGGATTTGTAGCAAAAACTTATTGCAACATGCAAATTTTGTGGTGACACATTATCGCAACAGATAGGTTTCGTGGCAATATATTTTTGCGACAGGTGTAATTCCATGGTGATAACCTATTGCATGTATTATATATTACACTAATAATGCATTATCCAAGCACCATTTACAAGTACAGAACAATGCTCACATGTTGATAATGGTAGAAGAAAATCATGAGTACATGTCCAAAGCATTCATTCATTCATTAACAAGTTCAAGAATAAAACATCGAAGTCAGATACATGTTCTCCAAAGTCTGAAAGGAAATCTAAATATTCAAACAAACAAGATACATATGACTTCATCTGGTCAACAAGCATTCTTCAAGACATCACTTTTCTTCACTTCACGTAGAAAAACCGTCCTACAAGGCGCCTCCTAAACTGGTAATAAATCTTGTTGGGATCTTTCTTCTTCATTTAGAGAAAACCCTCCTACAAGGCAAAAACAAAATTTGAAGCTTATAGTTAGTCAAGACAGTAAAGACAATACACAATAAAAATGATTATAAATAAGGGTTGATGATTCTACATCGGATGGATTCCATATTTATAATCCATATCAAGAATGTACTGTAATATTTATTCATTAGCACTTCTAAAATATTACTATGGCTACTTCTGTACAGTCATTTAGCAAGAAAAGATAGGTGTTGTTTACACAGATACAAGGTCTATAAATAGATGATTAGCAAGCAGCGAATACAAAAGTTTCTATTCTAACTTGAATGACCGAATTTCAATGAAATACATCAGGTTTCCTCGTTGAGGGCATTCATGAAAGAAGATATTTGCCTCTTCTTATTTGTGGCACATAAACATTAATATCTCAAAGTAGGCAGAGAACTAAAGGGTTGATCATGCTACTTGAGAAAGTAATCATGCCTTTTTTCTATGCAAACATACTAATGAAAAGCAGAAAGGGTAATCCGTACATCAATGCATGGATAACATGAGTTCTACCAGTTTATACTTCGCACGTAATCTGCTGGCTGTTCTACGTATAGGCTATTGCACGTATAGAAGAAAAGGTTGGCATGCTTATTATTGTTTCTCAACTTAGTATTTCACTTAATAATTAGCCTTTGTGGTAGAAACACATGCAAACCAAGGCACAAGTTTTTCTTTGTTTTACTTGCATTTTCCTGAATCAACTATTTTCTTCTCCTCTTCATGACTGATCATGTAGTAAAAGTCTAAAAATTATCCTATCAGTGATGTATCAGTTGATATGAGTTTACCCAGAAATGTAGCATGTTGCTGAAATCTATTTTCTCCAGCCTAGTATAAGTTTAGAAGTTGTTTACTGGGGCTGCACTAGTGTGGTGGTTGCCTTCGAGGTACAGATTCTTTTTTGCCTTGTCTTTTGTGTTGTGTTCAGTTTCAGATGGTATAGTTCGGCATGTACATGCTTCAATGGAAACTAGATCTCATAATTTTGTCAAATACCTTATCACTTGGAGGACGACGATGGTGTTTAGCTGCTTGCATAAGCTGGTGTTGACTAATCGTGCTCGAATTTTTAAACAGAGAACTTGACCGATTTCCAGTTCCGTTTCTTGGAGCGTCCCTTGCTTGGGAAAACTGCATTGAATGGATAACTGTACTAAATTGAAAGCATTTGTATTACCTGACGTGCGTCTTCCTGTCGAGTTCCCAATATCTGCTCAACATCCGACCTCATTGATTGCCTAACCTCATTCATAATATCATGCATCATTGCTTGCTTAGCCTCCTCAAGTTCTCTCTGCCTTGCTACGCGTTCCTCCTCAAGCTGTTTTTCCCTGGCAACTCACTCTTCTTCTCGTTCTCTTTGCCTCTCTGCCTGTTGTTCAACAATTTGCCTCCTTAAGTCATGAACCTCGAGGGTTAGCTCAGCATTTTGCCTCTGGATTTCAGAATGTAGTCTTTCAGAACCGCTAGGCGGCTTAGCCATGTATCCTCGGCCACGAGGCTTCAATGATGTACTTTCCATAGTAGATCTGTAGCTATTCTGGAAAATATTGTTTTGCTCTTCACTTGAAATTGGACCACCAATCTCTCCTTCTTTCTCCCTAATCTGGCTGCGTGCATTGTCCTACACCACATAAAGATAGCGTACTTAAGTTGTTAAGAATGTTAATATGATATTGCACAACATAAGTAATGTAACAAGCTAGATTTCTTTGTTTGAAAATGTTTCTCACATAAACAGTCTGTGATTCTTCATTAGACCATGATCCATTGCGGGTATGAGTGATCTGCCAAAGTTGTAGAATAGTTGGTTCCTTCCCAGTCTCCTCGTCACTCTACAAGTATAGAGATATGTCAAATAGAGAACCTTGAAATTTGACCGTACAAAGGTGCATTACATCTACTCTTTTGAGTACCTTCTCATAGCTAATCTGCGAGTACGATTTTGAACCAGCTATATGCCTCGCCTTTTGCTTCTGGCGATTTTCCGTATTTTTTCGGCTAAGCTCCTGCCACACACAATATAATTAGAGGCATGTTGTAACTAATACGGTTTACTTACTACACCTAAGAGGCATGTTGTAACTAATACAATTTACTTACTACACCTAGTAATGTACACAGAAGTAACCTGGAATTTTAAATCAATGCCAAAATAATTGATCATATAATCCCACTCCTCTGGAGTTACATCCTCGGGTTTATTGGCCCTTCTTTGAGCATCAGTATTGTATGCTTTGTATGTTGAATGCAAAGTTGACCGCCATCCTCTATAGCGCTCTCTAGCAATTGTTAGTATTTTTCCCTTCGTAGAATATGTGTCCTCCAAATCCCACTTAGCCTAAAAAGGAATGATGACAGGAGTCTGTTATTTATAAATAGATATTGGAGAGGCAATGAAAAATGCTGAAGTACAAACTTATACTTACAATGATATCAGCAACGATTGCATCCTTCACAGAAGAATCAATGGCAAACCACTTGTTCACACCAATGAGTGGTGCCTTCCTTTTCATGTAAACCACCACGTCATCCACAAACAAACGATAGTTCTCTCCGATAGAACCTCCCAATGTTTTGGAAAATTCAATGTGAAGCTTTGAGGAACCATTGGCGAATCGATTCTTGGCAACCTTGATTCCTTTGAGGACACCTCACCCCTTCTTCTTTTGACCACCACTTTCTGTCGATTAAAATCCCAGAAAAGTAACTCTGTTTTTAAATTGCCATGCAGCCATAAGTAGCCAAGTCAACAGTAATGCTGGAAATTGTACCTATATCCGCTTTTGTACGACGTCGGCGTGCGTGCGACGGCCAATTGGACTGGTCTGTGGGGCTTTCCGTAGCGTTACTTTGTTGTACAGTATTTGTCATGTCATTTGCTGGATTCAAGCCATTGTACAATTAATTGATCCAGTAGTATATATTTGAGGTTAGGCTGTGGATAAGAACTATGTATAACATGTACCTGATGTTGGTTGTCTGCTTAGCTGATTCTTGTACGCAATGATGGTATCGTCCCTTGACGATGATACAGAGCCTCTTGTCACTGTATCAAAAAATATATATACTTCTCAACAATACTGTACCCATGCTAGCTACAAATGTAGTGGCTGGGTATTTGTATTATTGTTAGTACGCTCCTATGAGAAGGTTTTGGTCACAAGAGCTAGAAAAGATATTTCAAAGTTACAATAATGGCATACTCAAACATGATTGTAGAACCATGAATTACGAGAATATTTCAAGCTAGTACATACCCCTTCGTGTTTGAGTGTTGTCTCGCCCTGAGGATAAAGTTGGAGCCCCATTCAGACAATTTGATGTATCAATTCCTGCATGCATTTTCACAAAGTGTGATGGCAAATTTATTATGTAGTTCTTAACTCGTACTTGCTTTTGTAGTTCTTACAAATTTATTATGTTTGCTCTTGGGAACCAAATGCAAGATGTAGTGGGGATGGACATAGTATTGGTGATCATGAGACAATAATCAAGAAATTGAGGGTTGAGAGGCCATCATTTAAGGAAAAGTACATATTGCCAGGGGCTTACAATATTAGTTGTTTGCAATTGCTAAAGTAAATGTACATAGTTCAGATTACCAGATTCTTGCTGAGTAGTTTGTCGATTCTGGTGTGCTAAGATGGTATCTTCTCTTGATGCCATTGCATATCCTAACAAATGCATGACAAAAGGTAGGAAGGGGATAATCAATTAAGAAACAGATGGTAGTAAAAATAGCAACATGTCTAAACAATGCAATGTGTACAAACAGAGTTATGATATTGAAATTTCTCATCACATTAACATAATATAACACCAAGCAACAGGGACAGATCTGTTTCTCTCTATATTATAGAAAACTTAATCCTAATGTTCTACACAAAAAACTCATCATTATCAGATTCGTCGAGTACTAAACGAGGAACATGGCCATCATTTATATATGTCTCATCATCATCACAGCTATCGCTATCAGATTCAAGCTCATCATCTCCGGGATCAACTTCGGGTATCTTCGGAATATCTGAAGCATCACCACTCGCACCTTCCATGCCAGATCTAGACCAACTTTCGACATCCCTGTCTATGTCTGGTACATTTGTATCTCCAACTACAATATCAAATAAGTCAACATCAGCTCCGGTTCCATCGTCATCATTTCCTACGGATGGCATAGCATATAGGTCTCGCGGCTTCAATCTAACAATAGAAGCCCAATTTATCTGCTTGACATCTCTCACATAGAACACTTGTTCTGCTTGAATGCCTAGTATGTAGGGATCATCCCTATATCGAAGTCGGGTAGTATCTACATCGATATAGCCATAATCATCCTTCTTGTAGCCCGTGCTTTGATTTTTATTGGCTGAGGGCACATCAAACCAGTCACACGAAATTTGGCATAGTAGTTATATTTGTTTATAGAATAGGATTACAACATATGCATATTAGGCATTAGCAAAACAAGAGAACACAGTACTGAATGTAACTTATTTCATTCAGACTGAGAAAAAGATGAAAATTTGAGAATGTTGACATAACCGAAACAAACCTTATCAAATTTAACATTAAACGCTATGCATATAGGTATTAGCAAAACGAGAAAATATGTGTACTGAAAGTAACTTATTTCATTCAAACTGAATAAGAAAATGAAAATTTGAGAATGTTGACATAACAGAAACAAACCTTCTCACAGGTCGTCCTTGACGCAACAAAGAACTGGCTTCTTCCTTATCCTGACTTCGACCTTTCCTGCATACAATTTTTCTAAGGATGAGTAAAAGGTGAACCATAATACAAAGTAATACCATTTGCTGCATACAAGAATTATGTATCAGCTTTTATGTGAGCCCAAATCTTACGAGATAACTCAATAAATTTTGGTATGGGAAGCATGTTATGAAATCCAAAGCAAGGCTGGGTATGCAAAGATCACAATGGAACGAAGCCTCATAACTAAAGACTAGACAGAAAAAAGACTAAATGCATAGGCACATGGCATCAAACAATTGTTTGATAACTACATTTACTATAACTGAAAGAGAAAATTTAACTGGGGAGCATAGGGTGAAGGTCTCAATCGGAATTATATCATATCCAGTGCCACTTCCTGATCAAAGCTTTGAAGACTATTTTTGGGGGTTAAATCCATATATTCCTGTTTACCTATCACTCTAGCAGGCTATCAACAATTTTACCTGAAGCCTGCAGCTGCCCACCGGAGGAGCACAAGTGTGTATCGCTAGTGGCAGGTGTGAGTGCGTTTACCTCTGTCAGGGATGAGGGGACGAGAGAGAGAAGAGGCAGTTAAACAAAAGGGCGGAGCTTTTGCTGAAGCTCCGGTTTGAGGGAACAAGAAGCCAGATGAAGATGGCCAACTGGCTATTCTTGCTGCAGGACACAAGGCACTATATGATGACATGGTCCCTGCATTTGATGTACTTGGGGAAAAGTGTTGAAAGGCAGAGCTGATTCAGGCTAAAGCGGGATTGAGGCCTGAATGTTTAAAACTACATGCCATGGGCATATATTCTTGTAGTTCGTCCAACCATGTGGCTTAAAAAAATCATCGTACAATTGATATGTGCATTCAAAGGTTGATGCATAATTGTGCTGTACAATGTAGCTGCAAGTTCCGAATAAAAGAAAAAAAATACCTGACGGAACAGAGGAATACAGTAGAAGAGAGGAAAACAGAGCAGATGAGACCGGAATAGTTGTAGATCTGGAAAGCACGCCACGGGCTGTCCACGGGAGCGGCGGCAATCCCACCCTTCCGACAGGTCGCGGCCATCCGGCGACGCGACATGGCGAGCCCCAGTGCGTTGGTGACCACCGGCCCTGAAGTTGATCTGGTCGGTGCCGCGCGGCAAGCCCTGGTCCGGAGGCGACCTCCAGCGTGCCGTCGACCGTCGGCCCTGAAGCTGCTCCTGTCGGAGCCGCACGGCAAGCCACAGCGCCGAGGCAACCGTTTTCCCTGAGCTGCTCCCGCCGGCACAGCTAGTTGTGGTGCAGCGGTCATCAACCTATTCCCTCCGACGTGCGCAAGAGGCAACGGCGCTACTCACAGTCCCTGCGGCGCGCGGCCCTCCCTCGCCATCTTAATTGGAAGCCGTGAAAATTCCCCTTTGTGCAGGTGGGAGGGTCATGGCCCCCAGGTAGATGGGATGGAGATTAGGCGACGACGGCGACTAGCAGGGAGAAGGTCAAGTGGGGCACCCCATCATGGGAACAAGAGAGAGGTAGAGAAAGGAATTACCGATGTACGTACAAGAATCTTCCCGTCGACCAACGCCACGAAGTCGCCGATCTCATCTACAAACGCCGTGAAGCTGCCATGACGGAGGAAGAAGTAAACCTGATTTCCTAATGGGGTGAAATCAGATTATAGTCCTGTTTAATCCAGATTGAAAGCAGTTATAAGGAGTTCGTGCAGCACCTCACCGTATCCGTGCGGGAAAAGTAATTTTTGCCGGGAACGAGAAGGTCTCTTCGTGGGAAATAAAGCAACCGGCTAAAAAATTTTGGTGGGAAACGAGAAGTCTCTTTACCGCCAAAGTCCAAAGGCAACCGGTGTGGAGTGGGGGAAGTAAAAATATTGCCACGATATATAAATTGTGGTAATAGCAATACTTAATGCAACTTTATTTTGTTTGTTGCCATAAGCCTAGATTTTTGCAACGATTTTTTGTTCGTCGCGATAAGGCTAGCCTTTTTGCAATGATCATGGCACTTATTGCAACAGTAAAATAATGTTGCATTATGACGTGCTAGTCGCCACAAAAATGAAAATGTGGTGATAGAATGAGATTTTTGCAACGAAAATTATTTTGTGGCAATATTTCCGTTGCAATAGACCGATTTCCTTGTAGTGCGTGATACCTTTTAAAGGTTGAAAATTGCAGCGGTGCAGATAATTACCAGAGGATCGGCACACGAGTACCCCATTACCCAACATGGCCACCGGTTGAAGAGGTTGGGTCCAGTCAAGGAGGATATTGTAGCACTTCTCCAATTGTGGAAGGTCTAAGTCGGTGCATATCCACATGTCAAGGGATCGATTCATTAATCCTACACTTGTGGTCAATCACAGCTCCTCCCGCAACTCAGATAAAGTGGATGCCTCGTGGTCGTCCCATGACCAGCAAGGAGGTGGTG